GCTTCCCAGCACTGTCAAGTCCCACCCCTCCCCGTGGCTTGGAAAACAATCTGGGGCACTTGGGGGTGGGGTGGGGAGACAGGGCTGAGCAACTTCCCAAGGCAGGCTCCAGCCTCTCCACGGATGCTTGGAGAGGCCGGTGTCTGACCCACTTTGAAGGGAACACAGAGACCGAAGAACGCTTGGTGTCTGCTCTGAATCCACAAGCAGAGGGGAGGGAGCCCTGTGGGTCTTGGATAGCCCAGACCTGAGCAGGGTGACTACGCTTCACAGCAGCCTTTATTAGAGAGAATCTGGTTTTAATAACACTAAATGGGCACCATGAGCAGAGCCAGCTGTTCAGGTCCCCAGGTGGGAGGTATCTGCGTGAGCCTGTGGGAATGTACTATATAATGACACCTCTGTGGCCCCTGCCAGCCCCAAAGCCCCGCCTTGGGCAGCAGGGGTGGGAGCGGCTGACAGCCAAGGGCCTGCCTGCTTGGACTGGTAGCTGAGGTCACGGCTGCTGGGTCTGTCCCAGCAAGATGGTGCTTTGGCAGCCTCTCTTCTGTGTCCTGGTCCACCTGCCGACAGAGCTGGGGGCTGGCTATCGTCCAGCATGGATGCCCAGAAGATGGGCTGCTTCTCATTTCCCACAGACTGAGCCTCCCTGGAAGTGGTAGGGGTGATAGAGGGAGAGGTCCCCTCCCTATGTGCACCAAGGAACCCCAGTGGGGGCGTGGTGAGGCGAGGCTGCACGGATCACAGCTCAGGCCCCCAGTAAGAACATCATGTGCTACCCCTGTTCCTGGATGCAGCTGAGGTCACATCCCTGACTTTCTGGCCCCTAGAGAGGCTGGGTGTGTGGTTTCTCTGGGGTGCAGCCAGCTGAGTTAGGGTGATTCTCACCGTAGCTCCCACTACTGGTTCAACTGCTCAATGGGGTGTGTTCTCTATGCTGTTTGACCCACACATCAAAAAGAACAGTGAGGGGTGCAGCACCAGTCACTACAGCCAAAGCCCGCTGCTCAGACACGTGGGCTGCCTGGGGGAGCTGACTGAAAGGCCATGGAGCCCAGGCACCTGAACTGCTAAGGCTGTCACTCGCTGCAGGCAGCACACTAATACTCTCTTACACATCTGAGTCCAGAGGTATTTGCCATTCATGTGTCCCAAACTGACCAGCCTGGCATGCCCAGGATTCATCTGGGGCACATCAGAATCAACACGGTCACTTGTCTTTCACACTTTGACATTTTCCCTGCACAAGTAGCTGTTTGCAAAGTTCCTTAACACATTAAGCCCCACTTTGGCAGCACAAGGGGGCTGGCCTGAGGCTCTCTGGAAGAGCTGGGGGGTGGGCTGGGGCGGGGTTCCAATCTCCCCTGCCTCATTTCAACAGATGGCAAAACAAATACTTAATTAAGCAGGAGAAAGTTTCCGCCTCAGCACAGTGATTCATGATTTTCCGGTCCCTTTGGTGCTCATTCTTCCCCTTTGTCTTCCCGGAACCCAAGCTAGCTTATTGCCACCCTGAGTTCCCTGCTTGGCTCTTGGAAAGACACAGCCCTAATCTGGGGAGAGGGAAGAGGAAGGGCATGTGCCAGGCAGGGGTGTGGAAGGGAGGGTCAAGGGGGGACAGGCCGCACAGCTGTTTTTCAGAGTAAAATGGAGTTTGCTGCTTACTGACAACTTGGCAGAGGCTTAGGAAGAACACAAGGGGGCCTTCTGAGACCACTGCCTCTGTGGTGCTCTAGACAAACTGCTGGGGCTGAGCTTGGCCCAAGAGAGGGACATCCTTGATGGGGTCCAGCCCCTGTTCCGAGCTGGCCCACAAATGTCCCGCAGGCAGACTGAGGACGCTCCCACAGACAGGACTGCTCACTTGGTGTAATTTGGTGGCTCTGGGGAACAGTCCATGACCTCTCTTCCGTCCCTCCCCTGCTGATTTGACACAGAAGACACCTTCATCCAGTGAGGAAGAGAAAGGCCAGGGTGGTGCCACTTCCCCCGTTGGGAACTGAGCCCTGGAATGCCAGAGTTCAGTTTACTGAATCGGGCCGTCTTCCTTTTGCCCAAGGGGCTGTGCTACTGGGCAGCGTGCTTTCCAAGCTCAGGGGTCTGAGTGTCTCACAGAGAAAAGTGACTTCTCTCTTTTTTTTTTTTTGTCTTTTTATCGGTACTGGGGATCGAACTCACGACTGCCTGCTTGCAAGGCAGGTGCTTATGCCGCTGAGCTAAATCCTCAGCCCCTGAAAGTGACTTCTCTTACTGCCACCCACAGCAGTTCCCTGGAGAGGGTCCTGATACTTGATTATATCTCAGAAGAGCAAACAGCTGCAAAGACAACATGCCAAGGCAGAACCAGCACCAGCAACAGGCAAACACCTGTGACCTTCACAAGCTGGTCTCTGCCCAGGCACCTGACTCACCCAAGGCCTCCCTTGGGGCCATGGTCACCTGGCTGCAGGTGCTGCAGGGGGCTGCCTGTGAGGACCCCAGGAGCCCTAGATCCCATCTAGGCTGGATCTCTTCCCACAGAGACAGGGGCGTTGGAGACCGCCCACCTGCAGTGGCACATCCCGAGTGGCTGGGCAGCCCACTGCTGGGCGGCAGCGGCAGTGACTCTTCCTAAGCTCTTGGACTGCTCATTCCACTCTGAGCCAGATTCTGGGACAGGGGAGGACGGAAATGGGGCAAGGGCTGTTAGAAGTCACCCTCTGGATCTTGGGCCTCCGATTCAAGTCTGGGACTCGAGTCTATGGGGACCTTTACTTGCCATCAGCTTCCTCCTTTCCCTTCCACAAGCTTCCACTTGAAGACGAATGAATGTATCACTTGCCAGATGCAAAGGCACTGATTGCACTTGACTGTGCTACTCAAGTCACTAACTGTCATTATCCAGCAGTCGTGCCCTCATAGCCTGACGGGAATCCATCACACCGCAGAAATCATGTGCACCCCTCCACCTCGGCCCTTACGCCTGTCCCAGCCAGGGGAGGAGAGCAGGAAAGACCTCGGCTTTTGGGCCAGGGCTCACCAAGCTCCTTCTTACCACTTATATGGTAAAGAGGGCAGCGGCCAGGTTTTCAGGGCTGCAGACCTGGCTACAGAGACTGCCACAGCCAGGGTATCAGTGCAAGGCCGGGGCGGTATGGGTGGAGAACACCCTTCTCCAGATTCCGCTCACCCAGAAAACTCCTGGAGTCACCAGGGCTCACAAATGCTTCACATAAGCAGAGAAAAAGGAGGAAGACAGTCTGTGTTTCTCATCCTTGTTGACCCCAACTTCTGGACAGACCTCTGCCAGCTGCAGGATTTATGCCAACATCTGTCCATGAGGCTCATGTGGCCCTCATGCTCTTCAGTCACAAGTGTTCACTTCTTCCCAGGTGGTCTTGTTAACTTGCCCTGGGGCGTTGAGATGGGACACACCCTGTTGGTGAGTAGTAAGACAGGAATTCTGCCCCATCCACCCTCCCTGGGATGCACTCCTGGGGCCCTCATCCATGCCTCACAAATGCCCCTGGTCCTGCTTCTGTGTCCTCACGAAGATGAACCAGGATGGACTGAGAGCAGGAAGAGGGTATGGCCTGGTGAATGGCTTGAGAGAAGGACTCGTGGCCCTTGTGTGAAGTGGAAGCCTGGGGCTGCATGGAAAGGCGGGCCAGCTGTCTGGCCAGATGGTCCCTTCCAACCAAGGACAGTAGGGCTCCCGTGAGCCCAGAGGCTCTTTACACTGGGGACAGGAGAGGCCAGAAGCCTTATGGGTGGAAACTGTCCTGGGCACATCCTCACCTAGTCCAGGTCCTGCAGGGAACCAGGGCAGTGGGCACCTGGTCCCGAGGAGGGAAGAGGCAACTGGGGTGGGAAAGGAAGCCGGGAACAGCAGGCAGGGTCCTCTGGAGCCTTCATGCCAGGGGCAGGGCAACTCTTGGTGCCTGAACCTAGGTCCAGGACCTCTATCTGAACAGCAAAATTCTTCTTTGCTTTTATTATTTATTATGTTTTTTTTTAATGGCAGGATGGGCTTTATTCCCATCTTTATTCCCATCTCTGCCCCTTTTTGAGCAGGCTCTTAAACTTACAATCCTCCTGCCTCAGCCTCCTGAGTGCTGTGATTACAGGTATAGGCCACCACACTTTAGTTTTTCTTTTTTCTTTTATCTTTTTGAGATGGATTCTATTCATGCTTTCCGGCTGGCCTTGAACTCCCAAGCTCAAGCAATCCTCCTGGCTCAGCCTCCTGAGTGCTATCACTACAGGTGTGTATCATGCTACCCAGTTAGCCTTTTTGCTTTCAGATACAACCAAGTAAGTGTCCAACAGATGCCCAGGGCACATGCGAGAGGAGCAAGAATCCACACCCCCTTGTCCTTGGGCCAGTTACATTAGCAGCTGGTTGCTTCCTTCAGGTGGCTGGCAAGATGATAGGACAGCAGTGAACAAAGTCCCCATGACTAACCTGGTTTAGGGGGAAGAGACCCTCAGCTGCAGCTGCGGATAACAGTGCTCCTATCGGTGTGGACCGGTCAGTGAGAACCTGCCACGGACAGGGTGCCTTCTCACCCCGGTGGCCCAGGATGTGGGAGGCAGTGAGTGGCTGCAACCACAGCCCCCTGGGTTTTATAGCTGTGCTACACGGTGGACCCACAGGAAGGCACAGCGCTGTGGCTCCTGTGCCCTCCAGGGTGCACGGCCCAACCCAGGCCAAACTGTGGGTTGGTGGAACCCAGCATGGTGTATGAAGGAGCCTGGCTGAAGAATCAGCAGACGGGATTCTAGCCCAGCTCCATCTATGCAACGTGACCTTGAGAAAGTCATTTATCCTTTTTCTTTGACACTCACTTCCCCACCAAAAAAGGGCAAGCAGGGCACCTCACTGCAGCCCCTGCCCTCTGGAAAGTTTGGAGGACCAGGTGGGCCACGTCATCAATACCCAGCCAGCACGCTGGGAGCCTGCTTGACCTCTCGGAAGAAGTAGAGGAAGGGACACAAACAGATACGTCTCTCAGACTCACCAATCCATCTCATCAGAGAGGTCAGGATCTGCAGGTACTTGGTCTTCTGGACGTCAAAGAAGGTGAATGGTCCCAGGAGGAGCGTGAAGACAGCCTAGGCGAGGAAAAGAGCGGTGAGAGGACACAGGGGCAGCTGCGCACCACGTGGTGCCATGGGGTGAACAGTGCGCGTACAAAGCCCTGGGCTAACCCCAGAGCACACCTGGCTGGGTGGAGGCTCCCTGCGTCTAGTTGCATCACCATGGCCAAGTGCCCGGTGCCAGAGTGGAACAGAAAGTCCAGAGCCCTGGCTCTCTGCCACGGTTCACACTTACTGTTCAGATGCTACTGTACTTCCTGGGCAAGGCTCGGACATCAACCAAGGGACGCCACCCCCTCCACTCTGCTCTCTGGCAGGCACTGGGTCCAGCATGGTGCTGACTGTGAGTGCAGATTATACACAAAATAGCAACAAGATGAGGATCTAAAAGGAGCAGCAAACTTTCCCACCACTACTGGGAGGAAAGGCATGGTGGGAAGGGCACCGGGCCTCTGCTAAGACAGCTCAGGAGAGAATGCCCCCTCTGGAGAGCTCAGAAAAAGCATTCATCAGGACAACATTCATCATTCACGTCTTCAGCTTAATTGGAAAGGGGAGCCTAGAAAGCAGGAGCCAGAGACTTCCAGGGTGACTCAGGGGAAAAGGTGCCACACCCAGAAAGGCTGGGAGTGACAGAGCTGGGAGGGGATGGGAGCCAGGCTGGGAGATGGGTGTTGGACCCTGGTCTTTCTCAGTTTGCTGCCCTTGAAAGCACAGGAGAAAGTGTTTTTTAAAAAAACTGTCTTAGAAAACCGGTCTATGGGACCTCTCTGCAGAAGAAATCGGGGTGAACGTGGTACAGTCAATGGAGAGTGGAGTGGAGGCCAGGCTTTCCGTGCCAAACTGGCTGCTCAGGGAACAGAGGAATTAAAAGCAGCTTGCTGGAGTTAAGAGGATGGTACCATTTCCAATCTGCTCCTCGGAAGCAGGCGAGGCATCAGACTTATTAACATTTACACTGTGCCATTTTATCACGTTAGTGCTAATGACACTCACCAGAGACGCAGCAGACGGCACAGAAGCCTGAAGGCAGGGAGAGGGGCCCACAGTGGGGAGACTGACTGGCCTCATGCTTTGGGTGATTCATTCCAGCTGCTGAGCCTGGGGCCGGTCCTGTGACAGGCTGACAGGCAGGCAGGCAGGCAGGCAGGCAGGAGCTCCACAGAAGGGGTGAGCCCGCCCGGCCCCCACCACAAGGAGAGCAGGATGTGGGAGAGGCTGTGACCTCTTATCCAAGTCCATTATCACTGTGACATGAATGACAGAAGGAACCAAGTGCCGCTTAAGGATAAGGTTCTAATTAGATGGGGGTGGGTGGAGGCATCCTGGAGCCACCAGGGCTAGAGCCCGGGTCCTCTGAACCTGCCCCCTTCCCCCCCATTCAGTAGAGGAGGAAGGAGAAGCATTTCCCTTAGGCTGGGGTGACAGGGAGTCAGAGCAAGGGGATTCTTCTGGCTAAAGCCAGGCCAGCCCCTCTACGGTCTCGCAGGTCGAGGGAGCAGAGCTGGGATACAGTAGTACACACACACACACACACACACACACACACACACACACACACACAACCACTACCTCTGGCTGAGCCAGTCTGTATGCAGCACCATCAGTAAGTCATTTAGGAAAATTACCACTTCAGGGAAACTTTCCACTGATGAATTTCTCTTTTGAAGGATGGATAAGGGGATGTCAGGTGGAAGGATAAATACAAAGTCACTTGCCACAGATATTTCCAGACAACCACGGCCCCCTGGAACTTGGACTCCTGTTGTGGCCAGGGGCTTGGGTGGTTCACCTCTGACCTGTGAGCCATCTAAAAACTCTAGGGGCAGAAATCTTGCTGGATGGTTTATGCAGGGGTCAGATTTCATCTGAGAAACCTAGTAATGACTGGCCTTTGGAGGATTCCATGGCACAGAAGGGGGCTGGAGGCCAGGAGTGGTGGCCCATGCCTGGAATCTCAGCACTCTGAGGCTGAGGCAGGAGGATTGCAGTGAGTTCAAGGCCCGCCTGGAGTATAAAGTGAGTTCAAGGTTAGCCAGAAGCATATAGTGAAACCCTGCATCAAGAAAGACCGAGAGAGAGAGAGAGAGACAGAGAGAGAGAGAGAGAGAGAGAGAGAGACAGAGACAGAGAGAGACAGAGAGAGAGAGAGAGAGAGAGAGAGAGAGAGAGAGAGAGAGAGAGAGACAGGCAACAGGAGTACAACTATTCCCAAGGTCAGCAGAGAATCCTGCCTCTGCATACATCAAGTACAGGCGTGCTTGTCAGAGGCCTGGTCTATCTTTATCTTCCTTCCCCTCAGTGAATGTCTGTCAGAATATTGGGACAAGCAGACCCCACTGTGTAGAAGCCCGAGAGTGGGAATCCTGGTTGCTGAAGGCTTTCCTGAGGAAGAGGCCAGACATATACTCCTTCAGGAGATGCTGATCAAGAGGTAAGGAGCAGCACCTGAATGAGGGTCCGCCCTGGTTCGGTGTTCTCAGCCCCAGTCCCAGGGCAGCAGGTGCCAAAGGGCTCTTTGAAGGTTTGACACCCACAGCTGGGTGGTGGGTATTTCCTTTCCATACGGAGGAGCACAGACTGGCCACACCCCTCGGGGGGCACACGGAGTCTCAGACAGACTGACTGTCACACAGCAGCCTTACACCGGCTGTGGGCTCACACACCTGAGAGAGCTCAGATGAAGATGCGGACCTGGGGCTGGGGCTAATTAAGGAACAGGTGTCCTCTGCAAATTAGCAAGAGCCAGAACTCGGCAACTGCAGGAGCAGAGGACAAAGGACAGCAGTTGCAGTGGCTGCTGAGGTCTCTGGGGAGCAAGGGGCTTGGGCTGAAGGATGAGCCCCAGGCTCCTGACGGTCTGGCAGGGGCAGGTCCATCTTTGCATGCTCATCAGCCGGATGTGGCACTTTGTGTTTCCTTTCTCCTTCTTAAAAAAAGAGGAAATAAAAAGACAAGCAGCAGCCTATCCTCTTGGGCCTTCCAGTCTAGCCATTATGACATTATAAATTAGCTGGCTTTGGAACGGTTTTCCAACCCCCAAATGCCACTAATCAGTTCAAATTCAGTCTCCGTTCAAGGACTCTTGTCACCCAGCTCATCCATTACAGGAGGCAGGGACACCCGTTGCTGCAGTCAGATGTGTTTTTAAAAAAAGAATGACTCTTTGATTTGTAATGAAATCTTCAAACGAGACTCTGGAAGTCAAGTCTGGGACAGACCCGGGAAGTGGAAATGGGGCCCACGAAGCCTCTGTCTCCTTCTGGGCTTGTAGGGTTAGCAGTCTGCCGAAGGCCCAGGGCCCAAGGTGCTGCAGGCAGTGTTCGGCTCACAGAGCTGGCTGCCCTCCTGGGTTCCCCATGCAGAGGAAAGGCCCTGTCCTCTCCAGCTGCTCAGGCTGTGAACTCCAGCCATCTCCGATTTCTTCCTTACTCTCTGTGTTAGGTTTTGGTGCTTCTGTAACAAATTATCACAAACCCAGTGGCTTCAAATCCCAGAATTTAGCCAGGCATGATGGTGCATGCCTATAATGTCAGCACTCAGGAAACTGAGGCCCGAGGACAGCTGCAAATTCAAGGCCAGCCTGGACTACACAGTGAGACCTTATCTCAAAAATAAATAAACAAGGGTCAGGGGTTTAGCTCAGTGGCGTAAGCACCTGCCTGGCAAGCACAGGTTATGAGTTTGATCTTGGGTACCAAAAATAAACAAACAAACAAAGGCCAGAATGTACTCACTCCAAGGCCAGAGATCCTGCAGCTAGCAGGGCAAGGATCCCAACAGTGGCACCCTCTTTCCTGCTCCCCACACTGAGGATGGAGCTGGAGAGCCACATTTCTCCAGCTTCTGCCAGCACTGAGACCTATGGACCTGGAAGGCGCCAGAAAGCTCTGGAACTGCAACTCAGTCTTCCGCTCCCTGGAGACAGGAGGGACACCCAGTTTTCAGAACCAGGGACTGAAAGGGACCGGAATGGGCTGAGCACACTGATTCATTGGCTTGGCCGAGACCCAGAAATACCGAGGCTCACGCCTGCTCAGGAGGGGCACATCTGGGTACTGGAGACTCAGCCACTGACCCTGGCCAGCCTCCACTTTCCTCAGCTGCTCAGTTCTGAAAGGGAAGAAAGAAATGCTGTGTTCGTCTGGACAGCAGATCTCCAAAATCTAGATCTGCTGACTCAGGTCTGCTGATCGGAGCCATGACACCCACAGAAGGGAGGCGCCTGCTCAGCTCAACCCTGCTTGTCACAAAATGTGCCCAGCATTGGTGACACATGGTATCCTTTATTTAGCTGTCCCAACTGGGAACCGTGAGCAAGTGTTGACATGAGAACAGAAAATTAAGCAGCTGAGCATCACAATTTGTAATAGGCAGATCTTGGAAACAACCTTAAGTGTCCATCAACTGAGGAATGGATAAAAAAGTTGTGGTATTTTTATACAAAGGAGTACTACTCAGCTATAAAGAATGATCACACAGAGAAATTTATAAATAAATGGATGCAGCTTAAGACCATACTCATAAGTGAAATAAATCAAACTCACATGTATAAATACCGAATAGTTTCCCTAGTGTAAGAAATGGTAAGAATACATAAAAGTATGTGGTAATCATGATTCCCCATTATATTGCTTTGAAGCCTTAAAATGTTTTCATTCATTAATTGGAATGGTTTTATTCTGGGTTGTTTGATTTGTCTGAGATGGTATGAACAGCTATTTTGAAGAAAACAAGACATTATAATAGCTAGTGATGATTTACTATCTTCTTGTTTTGAAGTCCCTCCCCCCCAAAAAAGAAAATAAAGCAGCTGATGCCTAACTCTTAGACCCCAAATTTTTCTGTATATATAGCTGGCCAGAAAAAATGAAATGAAAATTTAAATTTGGTGCCAATACCAAGCCGAACACCCTAGTTTAAGAGGCAAAGTCGCTGGGTGCCACCACCTGCCTGGTTTCCATCTCAGCCTCTCTCAACCCTGCCATCCGCCAAGCTGTTGGCATTTTTCACTG